GGTCATAGGTTACATGGTGTGTGTGTACGTGTATATATATATATATATATTCTGCAAATATTTCTGTATGCATAGAAAATATGGCGTTTAAAAAGTATTGACTGTCTATGAAAAATCGAGGTCAGGTAAGTTAGATAATTTATTTTTTCTAAAATTGTAAAATATTATGAAATTAAAATACAAATAATATTTTTTCTGCAAGTTTGATTATATCTCTGTTAGGACATTATGGCAAATCCTAAGAGAATATATATTTAAACCATTTTGCGTATTTATTTTGATAAAAGTTGTGAGTACATAATAATAATGAATTACAGTTTTGAACCAATTGCTCCTGAAATTATGCATTTTTGAAAAACATTCGCTAAATATATTCGTAGAAATTAAATAGTTATTTTTATTTTCTCATTTGCAATTTTCAATGTAAGCATTTTACCCAAAAATACTAGGTATTAAGTAATAACCACCCTTAATATATATTTTTAGAATCTATGTTAAGAATGAAGTAAGAAAAATCTATTTTTTTAAAATTCGTGAATTAAGATAGGCGGAGTGTCTCAAATTGTACACTTGTTAAATTTCCCGCCAATAGAGGGCGGTACAGAATAGGAAAAGTTGCGATCGGTATGAACATTTTACAGAAGAACATTGAAAATCATCAAACAACGGCGAATATCTGCCATCTAACGTGTAAACCATCATCAAAATCCTTCACAAGTACTCATTATGCGATTGCGTAGAGAAATATCGTCTGGCGATGTCATGGATTCTGAAGTTCTCACATGCGTGCAGCACTACCTATTGGCATGAAGTTTAACGTTTAATTAAAAATGCAATTTGGTGTCTTTAAAAAATGCCTCAAACCATAAATTTTTTATCGAGTTCCATTCTTTTTTTCGATTGATTTTCAAAATTAATAAGTCACTTTTGGTATATCCTTTGTTTATGCATCTTTTCAAAGTTTAATATTCCTTGTACCCAACAAAAGGCTTATTTTTAAATGATTCTTATTTGTGTGTTTTTATTAAACAAATTTATAATAATTTTTTTTTGCCTTATTTATTTTAAAGGCAATGACAAAAAATCTCTAAATGTAATAAAACACTCCTTAAAGAATTAAATACCAAGATTTTAGTTAATTATACTTATTTACTCAAATAAAACCGTTTAGAAAGTAACAAATTTGAAAGCTGTTAAAAAATCTAATGTTTATATTGATTTTGATTATTGTTATTCAGTTTTAATAGTTTAATTCATTTTTTTCAGGGATGCTATAATTATAAGTGTTTTAGATACCTTTACGAATATTTTAGCTGGATGTGTCATATTTGCAGTACTTGGAACTTTAGCGCATGAAAAAAACCTTCCAATTGACGACGTTGTAGATCATGGAGGTAAATGAAATAGAATTGTTCTGGAATGCTTTTAACATACTTAAGTATGTTAAAAAAATTCCAGAATTAGTTTTGAACTATATATTTAGTTAATTATTCAGTTATATTTATATTTTATATACTATATTTAGTTAGAGTTATGAGGATGAGTTAAATAAATGAATTAGTTTCATTGTTTCACATATGTTTGATTATATTTACTAACCACCTTTGGAAAAAAGTAGATCTTTCTTTTCAGTGTGTTGAGCTTTATAGATCTTGAGATTTAATATCGTGCAGTCGAAAATCAAAGCTACATATAAGTATAAACTGATATTGCACAGATTATACTGGCTTTAATTCCATAATGCTTGCTTTCAGATCCTTGGAGTTTTAGGGACAATGTTTTAGATTTGACAAAACTTATATCGGGGTGAATTTGTTATTAAAAAAGGATTTGTCTTTTTGTGAAACATATGCTCAAATTAAAAAAAAAATTGATAATTGACTCAATATCATTTTTGAAGGATACCGAAATCAAACTATGCACTTGTTTTCTATTATTGTTTCGATTATATATTGTTCATAGTTTGTTTTTCCATTTTCTATCATGATTCTATTATATTGCACTTAAATTCTATTGCACCGAGGAAAATTATTTTTTGTTACATTTACACAAATACTCAATCTGGCTTTATTCGGGTGTGGGGATTGGGGATTTCAAGTCGGATTTAATATTTAAATTTTTATTAATTGAAATATTATTCTTTTAGGTTTAGGATTAGCATATGTTATATATCCTCAAGCACTAGCAAATATAAAGTTCATTCCTCAATTGTGGTCAGTGCTGTTCTTTATCATGCTGTTTACTTTAGGGATTGGAAGTTCTGTAAGTTCAATTCACATGTTGTTAATAAATATGATTTTAACTTTAACAATCACACTATACACATTCGTAACTAAACTTTTGACATCTTAAACTGAAATTGATTCAATGAAAAAAAGACTATTTCTGAGTTTCTATGAGAGAGCCTATAGCTTTTTTAATAAATAATCACCTTATAACAAGTTAGTAAAATATTTAAAACTACTATGAGCATCATTTTTGAATATAAAATTCTGATTAGAGACTAAGACACAATTCTAAAAATACATTAAAACATATTCTGTCGTATAGTTCTTATCTAGAAGGAATAAAATAAATCGTTACCAAATCATAAATTTAATTATTTTTGATTTAATTATTTTTGAAATTTAATATTTTTGATAATAATGGTCGAAAATTTTTTGAATTGTAATGTATACAATATTTTGCATCTTTTTAAAGAATGCAATGTAAAATGCCAAATTACAAAGTTTGAACGAAATCGATCAAATCGGTCTTCAGAAATTAAATTTCGAAAAAAGGTGTAAATTTAAAATTTAATTTCTCAGGAACTATTTGACCGATTTTGCTCAAATTTTATATTTTGAGATTGAAAATTGTATTCATAAAAATGATGTAAAAAATTGTATACTTTGCAATTCAAAAGTTTTTCGACTATTATTAAATGAAATAATAAAAGAGGACAAATATTTACTAAAAGTTATATTTTGCATGGAATTATCATTAGATGAATGATTTTTACAATTAAGTTCAAAATTTTTTCAATTCGCTTAAAAAGTTCTCAAGATAGGTTGAAATACACAAAAAATAAAATTAGCATTAAGGGGTTCAAACTTTGGACCTCTTTCCTGATCAAACTATTAGGACCATACGAGTATTTCCTAGATCGCGGCTACATTTTGTTAAAATTTGGGGGTCAGAATCCGAATCCGTCGAAAAAAAAGGAATGTTTATTCTGTGAAAGTACGTTTTTGTGTTTGATTTAGTAACTTGAAATATCGTCTGCTCTAATTGGCATATTTGTGATCACCCCTTCGAACCATTAAGATTGAATCCTAGAGCTTGAAGAACCGATCATTAGTTCAAATAGTTAGTTAGTTAGAGTGTTCCATTTTTTATTTTGCGCACTGTGCACTACGAAAAAGCTACAAAATAATATCTTCTACATGATTTCCATATTTGGGTTCAAGCATAATCATAATAACTCCGGCTTAAATTATTGCACTTGAATTATTGTCAGAATTTAAATTCTAAACTAGTAAAAGACATTATGAAACATTATGAGTCATTAATATGTGTTGAATTGATATCATTATTATTTAAAGGTCAAGCACAGTAAGGTTAATAATTAAAATCATATTAGCATGTTTGTTTTCTGAGGAAATAGAAATGACTATCTATAAAATAACAATTAAGAATAAGACTTTTTCTTAATAGTTATTAAGAATAATAAAACAGGTTTTAAATTAAATAGCAATTAATTAGAATAAAATAATTTTAATAATTATTTTATAAAAAATAATAATTATGAATTATATATCTATGAAATATATAAAATAATATATTTTATAATAAATTTAAAGTTTTTTTTATGAAAGATGAAAAATAATATTAATAAAATAAATATTAAGAACATAAGTTTCATAAACTGTCAAACTGGTTGTAATGATTTTTATAAAACCTCTGATACAAGTCAACACGGTTTTTGTAAAGCTTTTCAATTATTATTACAAGGTATGTTTTGATTCTAAAGTGTAGGTCATATTAACTTAATAATATGAATTTAAAAATGCCTAATAAGGACGCTGAAAACGCTCCTCTTCACCATGTAGAACACGGGAAAAAATTCTTTTTTGCACCAACTCATTCCTATAAAAAAGTTTGAATTACTTTTTTTAGAAACTTTTCAAATATTTACAGAGTTCTCAAATTGAAACTGTATCAACTGTTATAAAAGACAAATTTCCAAAACTTAGAGAAAATAAAAGTTGGCTATCGCTAGGATTATGTGTCGTATTCTTTTGCCTTGGTCTTCCTTTAACAACAAATGTAAGTACATTGAACTCTACTCTTAAACCTATATTTTTTATGAGTCATAACCGATATTTTTTATAAATTTCTCTTCAAAAAGAACTAATTTAGTACTAAAAGGAAAATTAGAGTTTTAAAGCACTAAATAAATAAATGTTCTCTTTGTTTTTAGGTTGGGCAACATATATTAGAATTGTTAAATAATTATGGTGTTAGTGCTGCCGGTTTCTTTTACGCAACTCTTGAACTTGCAGGTGTAATGTGGATTTATGGTAAATATGTTTCAAAACTGTTTAAAATTACATTTTAGTTTTATAAAACACTCCCTATACCGATAGTTATTGGTCCAGTAATGGTTAAACCATTTAAGATTTAGCAAAAATCTTAAGATTAGCAGTGCTAGCCAAGTTTGTTAATCATCTCGTTTGGCAGTATTGCGATAGTGACCAACCAACACTGTTGGAGTTTTTCATTCTAAAATTTCGGTATAATAACCGGTGGCAGTTTGTCTCTCCTATTTACCGTAAGTTTACCATTAGGAACATTTCGTTACCTTTACGGTGCTTAAACTGCTTTCAACTAAATGATTAAAAGACCTGAATACAAAACTATGTGCTTTTGCAATATTTTTCAACTAGTATGTTTTTAAATCCGCAAAAATGAAATTTAACTGGACATCGGAGTTAGGCTATCTTTTTAGGTAATGTGCATTGAAGTGAGGTTCTGGTTGAGTGGGGTTTTGTCAAATTAATCATGAAATGTGGCTTAATTAGCTTAACTGTTGGTGTCCTCTATCGTGAGTGATGGGAAAATAGTAAACTTTTTTTTGCATCAGGCAGCTCTAAGAAGCCTCTTAAGCAGAATGTGATACTACCATCTGTGCGCTCATGAGAGTTTGACAGTTTAATAGTATCTAGATCACCAATTAGGGAGCGCAGGACCAGGGGTGGATCCCGAAATTTTTCCTGGGGGGTCATAGACTCAGGTTCCCCCTTATGCCCCCTCAAATAATTTTTTAAAATATTTTATTTCTTTTGCAAACCATTAAATATTATTATTTTTATTTATTTTTCAATTTTGGGGGGTCATGATCCTTATGACCCTCCAGCTGGATCCGCCACTGTGCAAGACACTGGAAAGGAAAAGAGCAAGCATTTATGAAATATCGCATTAGTATTTCTTATAAAACTTTTATCAAATTAATTTTAAATTAATTAATTAAATTCTTTAATAAAGTGATGCGTTTCCCTAATAATAATTTTCAATGTTTGAAGCAGTTTTTTTTTCGTTTCATTTTCAAGTAAACCATAATTGGGCTTATTTTATTCATTTTCAGCTTATGTATATAAAACAAAAAAATTCAGAATTAGTCAGAATTAGTTATTAGAAATTTACTCCCGGAGGAGTAAACTTTATTTATAAAAAAGGGGCTCCACCAAAAGAAGGTTAATAATTTAGGGTTCTGCAGTCAAACAAATTGGGAACCACTGCTCTATAACATAAAAAATATAACTTTTAAAAATTTAAAGATATATATGCTTGACTGTTAGAACGAAAAATTTAAAAGTATGAAAGGAAAATTAGTTTGTACTTTCTGCTGTAAATTCAATTGGTAAAATTACATTAAAAAATGATCAAGAAAGATGATTCTAATCGTGTAGTATAGTATGCCTATTCTGATAGTAATCAGAACTTAAGTTTTCTTTTTACTACTATTCATATTGTTATTTTTCTGTATATTGAATGTTAGTACTACTTATAAGTGATAATGATTTATCAGATATGTACTTAGTTCCCAAAATGTTTAAAAAATACATTATTTTGTCTGACAAATAACTGTTTTTGTATCGTTGAAATCTGCTGCTTAGTATAAAAAATATTTATGCTAGTTCATTTTTTGTTCATTTCTAATAGGCGTTCGAAATTTTATGGCGGATGTAACTTACATGCTTGGATCCACACCAGGAATTTTTTGGAAATTTACATGGTCGTTTGCAGCTCCTGTATCTCTTGTGGTAACATTTTTAGAAACAGATATTATTATTTTTAGAATTATGCACATTAAATCTATCTAAATCATAGATTAAGTTTTTTTTCCATTTATCTCTGCTAACGTTTCAAGATCAAAAAATTTTTCATGCCTTTCTTCTAATTCTTTCTCTCTCTATCTTTTTAAATAATAATTATTTTTTTACCATTCATTTTTTTAAATGTTTATTTTAATAAATGTTAATGTTAGTTGTTAAATAGTTATTGAGGGGATCAAAAGTTTGAACCAAACTTTCAGTTAAAGGAAAAACCATAAGAGATGCAGTCATCTTATTTACACCTAAATTTAGGGCCGTGGTAGCCCAGTGTTTAGAGTATCAGGGTTCGGTCTCGAAGGGTCGGAGTTCAATCCTCAAAGCCTCTGAGACCCACCGAATACATGCGATATACGTGCTTGTAAGAGCTGCAGAATTGGAGAAAAGTTTCTTTCTTTTCAGATCTATATAAATTGTAGAAGTTGTCTCACGGATGAATGGTAATCCAGATCCTTGTACTCATGGTACTGCTGCGTGGCGACCACAGAACCACTTATTCATATACCAGCTAAGACGCACTTTCTCCCTAGTGGTGCTCTCTCGTAAATCGGAAAGCACTCCTTCCTGACTTAATTCGCAAGGCGAATGACTTGTTATTGCTAAATTATACTATTGCTAAAACTTAGTGGCATGAATGCGAAAACACTACAAAAGATTAAGCTAGCCGATATATCATTTAAAATCCTTACTACTATATAATAGCAATTTCTCTTTAAATGTTTGCAGAAAATTGTATTAAATATATAGCTTTAGAATTTAATTTAAGTAATAAAAAAGTAGTGTAAACTAAAAAGTTAAACGAATGATCCAAACATTGTATAAAGTTTTAACAATTAGAAACTTTTTACTTTTATTCTAAGAATTTTATTTTATATTTTCTAAATGCTTTTCTAAGAAGTACTAAGGTTAATAACTTAAATAATAATTTTCCTTATTAGAAATAAGATTAAAAACTTTTTTGAAAATTCTACGTTTTTTAAACGAACAAATCTAAAATAAGATTTTCTTTCTACGAATAATTAAAATAATAGATGAAAATGATTTTTTTTAAAAAAATATTCAAATTTGAAAAAGAAAAGCCAAAAATTAGTTTTGCTTTAATTAAGCTATTTTTTTTATTGCACTCACGCAAAATGGAATTTTTGAAAACAAATGTTGTTTGAAAAATATTTATGAATTTTCTATGAGTATTTATTACTGATTTTGTTTTCTTTCCAAAATCAAAATTTGTGTAAATTCAAATGTTTTCAAATTTCATAATACATATTTCGTTACTTTTTTTACAATTTAATTAAGTTTCTTTTGAAATCAAAGTGCACAAATGCAAATGAATCTTTTTAAACTTAACGGAATTGAATATGGAATCGAATGTACGAGCAAAGAGAAATAAAATAATTGTAAGTAAGTACAATCAAGATTCAATATGATAATCAATCAATTAAGAAACAAAAACAGAAATTGAATTATGGACTCTAGCTTACAAAAGTATTTCCCTGCTTTTATCATGAAAGATATTTTCATTGTAATGCAATGAATTCTAAACAATTGTTCTGTTTTAAATTGATTAAAAATTAAAAAAGAATAAAAAAAATAGGAAACAAAATAGACAAGTGAATAATGAGAAAAGGTGAATTTTGGTAATGACCTTTCTGTTTTGTTTCTTTTAGATAATATTTGTTTACGGACATGTAGTTGTGGACAAGAAAGATCCTTTACCTCTTTGGGCGGAGTACACTGGCTGGTTCCTTGCTTTTATAGCTCTAATACAAATTCCAATATGGGGACTCTACGTAATTTATAGAAATCCAAGTGAAACTATTCAAAAAGTATGGTTGTTTTTAAATTATTCTTCCAATTAGTAAGACTACGCGATAAAAAAAATTAACATCTATATATGTATTTCTCTTATACGGCGACAAAAAAAAAGCCTCATTACAACTCCCCGAGTGGCAACTCAAGAAAATCGACCAATGATTGGTCGACATATAGCGCTTTTAAAAACGGAAACTGAAATAACCAGAGAGAGCATTCTCACCAAATGTGATCTCTTCCGAAATTCACCCTATCAGCTGCTGCAATCTCATACTATTAAGCTAAGCAGAAGTGAGTAGTCTTTGCCGATAGATCTCTATTTTAGTATTTTGTCGAAAGCGCTTTTTTTCACGAATTTATATATTACGAACTTATTTGACGATTTTTGATTTATATCACGGATTTATTTGTTTTATTATTGTTATTAGTTATTCATTGAAAAATGAGTCTCAGTCGTGCTGTTACGCTTTTGAAGTATAATCAAAAGAAGCTTGCTCGAAGATTGGAAGAGAGCATTGATGACAGCTATGAAAGATTTATCTTAATGACTTAGTATTTACTAAAAAGGTGTATTTCTTTTAAAAAAAAGAGTTGTTATATGGATTTGAATGATTGTTTTGAATTCTTAGAATTTTGCTCAAAATGTACCTAAGTTAGTAGCGAGCTTGGTTTGCAAAGCAAACCATATAAGATTGCGTAGCAATTTTCGGGGGTTGGCGAGCGCTAGCGAGCACGGGGGCGCAGCCCACTAGTTTACATTTATTATTTTAAAGTAAAGAAGATCCACCAGTACTCTGTATGACGACTAGTGGTTTTTCTACCGTTAGGCTAGAAGAAAATACATAGATTATGATAAATAGAAAGTGCTTTTTTCATACGAAACCAAAATGGTTTTTCGCATACTACTTTTATAGGGTAAAGTCTCAATGATTCCAGTAAATTCTCGGATATGTCACTTAGTATTGAGCCTCGTGACTTCGGGATTGTAGATAATGCTTTTGTCACCAAAATCGCCAACGGTAATAGCTTTCCCTTGACAACAAGTTGTTATTTAATGCTGTCAAAATACGTTAAGTCACAAAAAAGAGGAGTTTTTAGAAAATGGTATCTGGTAAACTAAAGATAACTCAAGAATCGGTATTTAAATCTAAAAATATTTAAAAAAATCTGCACATATTTTCATGTTAAGGGCGTTTTTCCTCCTTTGCAGTGTAATTCCATCCATAATTTGGTGATCTAATTGACCCCAGGGGTACTCAAGAGGTTTTATGTCTGATTTCGGAGAAAGTCAGTCTATTCAATTAACTACATTCTCACAATGCGACTTCATTACTATAGGTCTTTATTGGCCATTTTGGTGGTAAAATGTCCAACTCATAAATTGCTTCAACATGGAAAAAACATTGTTGTCCAAAATAGAGCCGTAGGTGTCGGCGTTGAGCATCCCATGAATCAAGACAAAGAATATTAGCGGATACCAAGAGTTACACTTGCTATACACTAGACACTAAACACACCAAGATACTATACATTATACACTATACAATAGATGCACCAAGAGATACAGATACCATAGTTTCACAACCGTCAAGGTGTATGGTTATTCAAATGGGTGTAAGAAGTGATAAGAAGATCCTTATATAATTTTTGTTGCATCATTTCTCGGAAACTTTACATTGTTTGAAAATCTCTTCATTATTACTTTTAAAAAAATTTATAAACTTACTTTTCCAAAATAATTTAAAATTTGGTTATTAAAATGAACAGCTTGTTAATCGGAATTCGGTATATGATTTTCTTAACAATATGGGCCATGGTTTAAAAAAAATAAGTATTTAATTCTTTACCATATCTAATATTTACTCAGATCCTTGTCAGAATGTTAAAATTAAGAAGCAATCTATCTTAAAATGATTAAATGAAAACTATCAAACTATAAAAAATATAAAATGTGAATTTTAAATTAGGAAAATAATTATTATTGAACTCTCTGTAGATTGCCTTGAATTTTAAGAATTTGTAAGCTTATTCTCTTAATTTAATTGTACATTTCGTATGTTTAAAAGCATAAGTTTAATTTTTGGAATAAACTGGAATTTGGAATATGTATTTTAAGTAATACTTCGTAAATTTTTTCAACAAATAAATTATAAGATAGATTTTACTTTAAATAATTTTCATAAGTTTTTATTCTTGTATCCATTCTTTTGCAGAAAATTTTGAATAGCTTCAAGGCAACAAAGGACTGGGGACCTAGTGATCCTGTCGATAAAGCAGGATGGCTTGCCATCAAAAATTCTAAAGATGAAAGTTCTAAAGAAAATAGCAATGTTGTATTATCTGCTGTTTACAATCAATCATTTCAAGAAGACATTTATTAAAAAAGAACGATTTACAGATAATTTATTCTCCAAATCTATTTTCATTTCACAGTTTTTTTTATGTATACTATGTATTTATAAGTTATTTATTTATAATTTATTTATTTATTAATGTCTTTAAAACATATAGCTATGTTGCGAAGTTGGGCAAAACGTAATTTATTTCAAAAAAGGAAATAAAATTGTAAATATCTCATTATTGGTTACAATTAATTATTGGTTGCAATGTTTTATTTTGTTAACAAAGGATCAATTTTATTCTGTTAACAAAGGATATGATAGTTTTTTTTTATCATAATCGAAATTGAAATTTTCAAAAGTTGTTTTTCTGTTTTGGGTTAAGCAGTTTTCACTTTTAATACTTAATAATTTTCATAAATTGTAATTTTCATTTTTATTGCATTAAATTTTCTGGTAATTTCCATGATTATTTGCAGTCAAAAATTTGCGCTATTTAAATTTTGCAGTTCATTTATTTAATATTTTCAAATAGTCACTTTCATCAATATGTAAAAGTATATATGATATACCATATGTAAATATATACCATATGTATCCAATATGTATAGTATTTTTACCAATATGTAAAAAATTTTGCAATGGAATTTTAAGTTTTAAACTTAATATAAAATGCAGCTGACGAAAAAGTAAGTAAAAGTAATCAAGTAAGTTCAAATTAATCCTAACTTTAATGGTTATTTTTGATATCTTATAATTATTTAAAGTTAGCATGATTATAACGATTCGTCACTCTAATATGTAATTACTTGCAAGTAAGTAGCATAAGCGAAATCTATTGCATATTTATTTTTGATTTAGCCACCGGAAAATTTTTTAACTTATAAAACCGATCGTTTCTTGATTCGTTTGTTCTATAAGAGAGTGCAATGGAGCAAAAAATAGAATTTATAAAGCAATGTTAAATATTGCACTGTACGTGGAAGATAATTGTAATTGCCTTAAAGTGCTCGGACTTCTCCTTGTTGGTCCTCAGAAGGTAATTTATTACCTTCCTGTCCTCTAATGGGTATACTGATAGAGGCATCCCTCTATACGTCACCTGCGCTGTAAAAAATTCTGGATCAAATTACGGTAAAGAGTACAGACAATCAGGATGTCGGTAGTTTTTTTAACCTTAAGATCAACTTGTACCGGAACATGTTAAGTAACAAAAAAATCTGATATTTCGTAAATTTTCGCAGTAATAATTACCGTAAAATCACTGAATCACTGTAATTAAATAAATATTACTGTTACTGTATACTATTGAACGGTTAAAAGGAATTTAACGGTAAAATGCATTTTGCGGATGGTGGGCCCAAATTGTCGGTACTTTACATCGTAATTTGATCCGAGCCGGGACGCGCTATCTGGGGGTCAAAGGGACTTCTGGAAATATTCAGAGGTGAAATAGTAACAACAACAAGGCAACATAGAGGGTCGTGGTTGCTCAGGGATAGAGCTTTCGCCTTCCAATGAGGTGAACAGGGTTCGAATCTCAGGGGTTCAAATTCCAATGACTGGTCGATTAGAAGTCCACAACCGGCTTGCACTGACCACAATGTTGACATAAAATATTCTCAGTGGTAGACGGATCATGGGTTAGAGTCCTCTTGCTGTAAGACTAACCATGGTAGGTTCTCGTTGTTTTCCTCTCCATGTAACGCAAATGCGGGTTAGTTTCATCAAAAAGTCCTCCACGAAGGCAAATGTCTCTCAATACTTGATCCAGAAGTTCCCTTGTCTTCTGAATTGGGTTCAAAATTACAAGGCTANGCAAAAGTGTATTGATCATGATGGAGAATATTTTGAAAAACAATAAAACCAATTTCGATCCTACATATTTGTTTTTTTTTCATTATTAGGCCAGAAATATAAATAGCAACCCTCGTATAATTAAGCAAGTTTATTTTAAATGATTTTTTAATTATTTTAATTAAGCAAAATGGGAAAAGCAAAGGAAAAAAAATCGTTTTCAAAATCATAGTACTTTTTATGTGAAAATAAATTATCTGGATTTCTCTTCAGTACTAACTAATAACCTTTCGATGAACATAGCTCAGATATAGGCTTAATTTGGTTCAAATATAGGTTTAGTACTATATTCTTCTTAAAATAACTAAATTCGATTATTCTGCATTGTAAATTCTCTGGTGTAATACCTCACTCAAATTGGTGTTGAGTAACCCCAAAAACTGTCTGAACGAACTTCAAACTAGCATCAACTCAATTATTTATATAGACTTAATAGCTGTATAGCTGTTAATAATTTAATTGTTAATAGCCATTAGCTGTGTAATTAACACTAAACACCAACAATAGAGAATGGTTATACCAAGCACACACATTCACGAATTATTTTTTCTTACGAAAACACCGATTTCGTTATCCCTACGTGATAATGGCAAAATATTTGCAAGGGAGCCCGTAATGTCGTGAATTTGTTGTCGCCTTGATCGCTACTATACACCAACAAATTACACCAAGAATTATCCCCGGTGTCTCATCACATATTTTTTTCTTCTTCTGTAAAGTAGTTCTCACCATTTCTGAGGAAAAGATACACTACAATTTTATATAGGACTCAATCACAAAATTTGTTTTCATTCAATTTAAAGAATTGGGTTAATTTTTTAATTAAAGGATAATTATTCTTTATACAGAAATATCGCATTCATAGTAAAGGATGTGTCCTGGTGAAGACCTTTACGTTTTCCTAAAAAAAGTTTTTCCATTTTATCTTATTATATCTATCTATCTATCTATATATATATATTTGATTTTGTTCACTATTTTATTCTTAGTTGTCCAAATATTACTCAATAGATTGAATTTATCTGGGTGAGTGTATGATAAAAATATTGCGTTTTCTTCTTAAGTTCAAAGATTTGGTCAGAATTACTTATCCATATCGAAAAACCTAACAGAGAATCGAGAATATTCTGATTAAATTTAAATGTCATACTATTCGCTTATTGACTCGATTCGAGAAAGAGATGTAAGATTAGATTAGTCGCATGTATTACAGAAAATTCTATGGTAACTCATCTGCTTGAAATCATTCCAGCGTTGGGCAATTTTTACTGAATAATCTTAATATTTGATAGTGTACTGCTTAATGGAACTGAATACTTCTTGTATTCTGTTAAGTAAAGTAGCACTAAAACGTTTATTAACTAAGCATCAAATCTAGTGAAACTTTTTATTAAACCAAACTTTAAATTAACTAAAACGGTTATTAAACCAAGTATTCCTTTAAAAATCTTATTTCGTTTAAAATTAATAATACTTTAGAAATTTTAAATATTATTTATGTATTTCGTTTTTATATGTCTTTTTCTGCGCAAATTCCAAACTAAATTTTAATTTTTACTAGTATTTCAACTTAAATGTAACTTATAATTGAAAATTTTTTGTTCAAAGTTTTAGAAAACAGTTCAGAACAGTCAAAGGCGAAGTTTGAATCTTTGGAAAGCAAATAAAGTGTTATAGATAATTTTTATTAGAAATAAGAAAAGGTTTTTTATACTTTTAAATTTTCTCGCTAACAAAAAAATTTAAAGTCCCAAATTGATATTTTAAATTTATAAAGGAAAAGATGACAAATTTACAATTAAAATCAATAAATCCTGCATAGAAATAATTTATATAAATGCAGGTCTTATCACTGTTCAACTTTTATTGAATATAAGGGAAGGTTCAAACTATAAACATAATTATATTGCAAATGCAACACGATTTTTAAAGCAAGAGAAGAGTCCATAATAACAAGTAACAAGTGAGAAGGCAAAATGTCTTCAGAACAAAAGAATATTTACTTATAAATTGTAAATTGATAGTTTTTAAATATTTTAGATATTTCTTGTTTTCAGGTTTTCATGGGCTTTGGACAAATTCTGGTACTTTTCATCATCACCATATGTTAGTCACCTTTTTTCAATGCTTTCTTTTTCTTTTTATTTTTTTATTGATGCCTCGCCTAATATGTTTGAACACTCAAACTCCTAAATTCTATTTTCTGAGTAACTACTTTTGCTAACTTTAAGATTTCACTAAATTCTTTGAAGCCTTCTGGTTGGGGGCAGGGAATCTTTGGATCTTGGTGAGGTCGCAGTTCCGAGCGTGCGTCGCCCAACCTACATCAACCAGGGTTTCCCCTGGAGTTGCTTCCGCCTCCCTTGCCCATTTTTCCGAAGTGTTGCATGGATCGCCACCAAGACTACCTTCTTTAATCCTCTTTTTCCTCCTCTGATAGGTCACGTGCGTGCACGAGTCTACAGTATTCTCCAGATGCCCCCTGACGGGGGCGGGTCGGGGTTAAGCTTTAAATTCTTGTTTTCAGATCTATACAGTTAAATTTGAAATTTTACTTAGTTTAGTTTCCAAGTTTTAAGTTTAGAATTATTGTTGTTGGGGTTTTGGAATGGAAAAATGCCCCGAATAGTCAACAAGCAACATCAGGAAGCTTCTCTTTAAGAAATAATTTAAATCACCACTAGTGCGGGAACAATTAAGTAGAGTTTTAGTCATTTAAAGGTTTCACTAATAGAAATCTTGTGGACAAGAAATGAAGACAAGGCCATCGTTAACAGCTTTAAAGTTAACTTACTTAACTTCACAAAAATGCTGCTTATCTTCATTTGCTCATCACTAAAATCTATTAAAGTAAACATGTTGAAGTTTTATTAACTTTCAAATAAACAATACATTCAAGACAAAAGAACATCGAAAGATATATATACATTTCTATGTCAAAAAAGTTGACGTATCACGATTTGAAGGACCTAGAGTAGTAACTTGCGATGCAAATGAGATACAATGATTATACAAGAGAATATAAGAGTGTGATTGTCATCCCAGGCTTTACAGGTACTTCATTTCTGCTAGGCAAGCAAACACTATCATAAACTACCTGTAAGAAGAAGAACTGACTTAACTATACAAATTAAATTTGTATTTTATGCTGTCATTAACTAGTTAGGACATTTTAATCTTCCTCCCAAATATGCATCTAAGGTTGATTTTTGTATCATGTTAATTAGAGTTAAAATTATATTACACAAATTAAAGTTAATTTAAATTTTAATGATTTAAAATATTCTTGATTACATATTGATAGCATAACATTAAGTAATACAAAAGGGGGGCGAGAAGCTAAGATTACTCACCAGGGCGTCATATCAAAACCTAGTCACCTCCCAACACGCAGGCAGCGCTTCGACTGATTCCCAAATGGATGCAACCCCTACAGCAAGAGGGAACATCGTCAAACTCATCCTTTGGCTCACTTTACCGATGCTTTTGGCGCATTTACTATTTTGGGAGTCCTTGCTCTGCATCATAAAGCCCAACAAGAATTCTTAAAGATTAGCATATAAATCATGCAAGCTTTAAACAATGTTAAATTTAACTATGCCAGTTAGCGCGCTATGAGGTTGGTATTAAGCTTGCATTAATAACCATTTTATCTCAAGATTGAGTCTGCTTTTACAAAACAAGGCTAGAAAAATCTTCTGAAATCGAGGATGAATCATCATTCACAAATTAAGAGTAGAAAGCTTTCTGAAACAAACCGAGGATAAATTCCTAACCTCAAGGCCTTTTTCATAGATTTTATGACCATCACTGAAACACGATTGATTTGAGAGGGATTCTATATGCTTTTCTAAACACTTTAAAAGTGAAGGTTCACCTAATCATCAAGTCTCCAATACAAACTAAATATTACATTTTAAAGCCTGAACAAAGCTTGAAGAAAAAAGGCAAAAACAAGGTTTGTAGTAAAAGATAAAAAATAAGATTTTTTGTAAGGTTTTTTGCATGCCTTTGTTTAATTTTCAAAGAAACAAGCTTGTTATCCTAATATTTCTACTAAATTTTAAAAAAAAGGATTAATTAGTCAACCATTCCATGCCAACCAAATTAAAATGAAAATACATTTTCTATGTATTGATAACAGACCCTGCTATCTGGAATGCTACTATGAATTATTTATGAATATTTAATCTCCTGCTGTTATAAATCAGTGAAAAGTTTTTAAACATATGCTACCAAAAATTAATCATGAGTGTTAGTCTCATGCTGTCATGAATCAGTCAGGAATTTTTAAACTTATATAATTGAAAATTAGTCATGATTTTTAGTCTCATGTAGTCATGAATTTGCAATGAGCTGTTAGTCTCTTATAATCCTGACTTGACTTGCCATATATTCTTAAGATCATGTCCTCTTGAATTATTTTTGAAATTTTAGTTTCATGCCATTATAAATTAATCATAATTTTTAGTCTCATATTGTCGAATTAGCAATGACATTTTAATCTTATGCTGTTTTGAATTAGTTAATTTGATAACTTTTTGGATGATTTAATTGAATTATTTGAATTTTTTTCACATGCTGTCACGAATTTATGGGACCGAAAAATATTCGTGACTTCTTAGTATAATATTGCAATGAATTAGTCACAAAATTTAATCGGATTCTGCTACGAATTGGACAAAAAATTTTAATCTCATGCTGTTATGAAATAGTCGTGAATATTTAGTTTTATGCTGTTATGAAATATTCAGAAATATTTAGAAATTTTTCGATACATAAAGTAATAAATTTGTCATAATTTTTTTTCCTATAAAAATTATTTGTTTTGAAAATTTATTGAATTAGAAATATTTTCAATTAAAGAGTAAGTTTGGGGTCTGAAATTTTTTAATACGTTTAAATTGAAGTTTTTGCTTTCAAAATAAGCTCATTCAGTGTATCGAAACTTTAAAAGAGATTAAATTTTTTTTTCATTCAGAGTAGCTAAGTTAATGTTCAGAGAACTTTAGAGTCATTCTGAGTAGCTGTATCGTTCACTTATATACAGTATCATACTCATATATACAGTATCATACTCACATATATACTCATATATACAGTATCATACTCATATATATAGTATCATTCTTTTTATAACTCCCATTCAGAGTAGCTTTTACTGTTTTTTGAAACGATCCATAATTATTCTAATTTCCTTAAAACTGTTTGTTTAGTGTAAATTGAATGGGTATCTAGGATTTGGATGCTTTTTTACAAGATTATATTATAATAGATATGCCAATAAGATTATATTATATTTTTATCTAGTAAATCATTTTTATAATGTCAAAAGGTAATTTTTTTATCAAAAAGAAATAAATGAATTAACTTTTTTTTCATACTTTAAATTTGAAAACTACATAACATTACTTTTTAGTTGAGTGCTAGTAATTGAAATTTCATTCATAAATAGTTAATCCCAAGTGACAGTACTACAATTGCTAAGTGACAGCTTGATGGCTGTAAAATAAAATTCCTAGAATAAAGATCTGAAAATAAAGTTTTATAATGTACGGAGTGTAAAAGTTTCAATCATTTAGTTAATGAAATAAATATTGGGTTGCTCGGAAAGTAATTTCGCTTCTTTTATGAAAATGGAAGCTAATTTTCTTATTGTGAATAAATATTTTATTGAATTATATATTGCCCATCCTAGTACAATGCTTTTAGTCATCTTTCTAGCAGTAGTATTACTCCACTTTTATAATTGTTTCGCTTTTTTGCTGGCAAAAAAATTCATCTAGGTGATTTTTTACCTTCTCGTTTGAAGTACAGGTAACACTATCTAAAACATTTTGTAGAGACTGAAACATTAATGTAGACAATCCATTTCTCGTCCTCAGTGAGGAGACACTTAAAAAATGGATCGTTTTCTTGACGTTTGAGAAGCAAATCACAGACGTTAACGCGTGGGCACAAATTTCTTTTCTTAAAAGACATAAAGAACCCATCTTTCAAGCTGTGAGCTCAAACCTAAACGTTCAAAATAATCACGAATGGTTGAATTGCATAAATTTAATATCTCAGCCATCACACAAACTGTTATTCGCCGGTTTTCATTAATTAATGACCTTATTGTGATTCCATCAGCTTTGACTGACCTTCCAGAACGTGGAGCATCTTCAACATCAAAATTGTCAAATCAAGATTTCACTAACTAATTTTCACACTGGCGTTCTGTCAGTACAACTTCTCCATACACATCGGATGAATTTTCTTTGCTTTAACAGCAATTTTTTTACTTTTCGATGGTAAAAAAGTAAAATAAATTGGAAATTCTGCTTTACACTTTCCATAGTTGAAAGGAGACCAACCAAAAATTGCAACACAGAATCACTCGAACTTTTTCACAAGCAGGACACGCTATATCAGTTGTCAAAATATATAACGATGATGTGGCTAAAGTGTGAAATTGGCTGTGAAAAAAATGCAATTAATCATCTGTTGAAAAAGAAAACTGAATTACATTCTAAAGAACCCAATATTGTTAATCATTAAGAAAATAGAGAGCAATATTGGGATCGTAAAGCAAAATGCATGATAAAAGCAAAACAAATAATGTTTACTTAAAAATGTTTCATATATGTCAGCATTAAAATGTATGTTAAAAATAAAATTTAGCAATCAACAATTGAACAATTGATTTCATGATTTCTATAGAGATGATTAATGTTTTTGCTTGTAAGCTCTTTAATTAGTATTTAGCTAATAAAGTTTTCACTTCAAGCTTTAAGTCGTTTAAAAATGTAGCAGTAAATTTTTCAAATATACTTACTTCTTCGTTTCGGTCATACACAACTATTTTCCAGTATCCTCTACTATTTGTTTTCATACCGTTAAAACCTTCAATAACATAACACTCTGCAATAGATGAACGACTGAACGTGATAACTTCATCTTCAGATAATGATGAGATGCCCAATAAGGATCGAAATTTGCTTTCTGCTTGTTTCAGAACTTCAACAATTGTCATCATTGGGGATAAGGTTACCACAACATCTGGAAGTGTCCCATCTGTTACACCACTTTTAACTCGGACAGTTACTCCTGGCTATACATTTCATGTTAAAAAAAAGTTTTAAATGCTTTAGAAAGTGCATCGTGGTCTAAATATATTAGAAAAATTGAATCAACGTTAAACAATAATATCCTGAACCATGATATCGATATAATGTTTAACAATTTTATTTAGACTCCAGATTGAACTTTATTTTGATGCAAGTTAGACCATAATTATGTTTAAAATAAGCCAATACTACGGTTCAACTTGGTCTGATAATATGGTTGAAGCGAACTCGAACTCTATTGTAGTTTAGCAAGCTTCAAAATTTTTATCATTGAATCAGACCAGCGATGACGTAAAATAATATAATGCGCTATATAATAATACTAGCCACATTTGGCGACCAGCTAAATCACTTTTTAAAATTATCATGCGCAACATATAAACTTTTATAGTAACCAAGCCGAATACATAGCATAACTGTATTTAAATATTCTACTTCTATAACCCGTCCTCCAATCCTAGCGCTTTAATTAGTTTTAAATAATATATTAACAAAACTTATGTTTATAGTGTATTCGGTCTTACTCTGAGCTTTTGTTGCATTTCTAATATCATAACAGCGCCCTCAACTGAAGAACGCTTTAATTAGTCAATTGAAACTCAACTCTCCCTCTAGCCAGTCGTGGCTGCAAGATTCTTAATGGAGCTTGCTATGGTGTAAGTTATCTGCAAACATGTAGATAGATTATTAATGAAAAAAATTATAGTCATTGTCATTAATTTGCCTTTGGTAGCCAGCGATCGAGATTTCCGTATCCTGATCTGTGGCAGAATAATCGTCAAATCTTGGCAACTTCCGGGCAGCGGCCAGCGAGAAACTAAAAAAAAAACATCACATAAAGGGACCAACTCGAAGTGTTATAGCTCGTAGCCACCCCCGGGCAAGCATCTACATGCCTTTTTTTAAAAAAAAAAATTTAAAGTTTAAAATCTATTTGGCACCTTGGCGATTGTAGTTGGTGAAACAGATCAGGATACGGAAGTATCCCTCAGCGACTTATGGATAAACAAAATATTGTTTGGTCTTATCTCACTGGAGACGAATTTCGATTTATATAAGTAATCGTTACTACAGTAGAGGAATTAAAAAAATATCTAAGCGGCTCAAATTTAAACTAACTAAACAGGGAAATAGTAGCGCATTTTCACAAATAACTTTCCTTGTTTTCTTGAATATGGCGGATTCTAGAATACTTAATCGGAAACGTGGAAGTATCCGAGTTAAAGTCACAAAAATCATTGAATTTTCAAAAAGTGAGAATATCGAAGATAAGATTTTACTACAATTTAAATTAAACGCTTTTAAAATATTAAAAGTTCAATTAGAAGAACTACGTGTGGACTAAATCGCATTGTGCCAGACAAAGAACTTCAAGAAATTGAGGATATATTATCAACAATTGAAGAAGAGATCGAAGGATTAAAGGTAAGCTTTTAAAAAATCGAAATTATTTCTAAATCCTATAAGAATCACTGTTGTTGAAAATTACGAAAACAATCCTCAAATTGTTGATAACAATATTAAAATCAAACTGCCTGATACACCTCTTCCCAAATTTTCGAGTAATATGGAAGATTGGCATAATTTTAAATCGCAATTCAATTCGTTGATCTCATCCAACTCACACATAATGATCTTGATGAATCACATAAATTATTTTATTTACAATCGGCCTTGATCGGGAATGCGAAACAGATTTAAACAACAAAACACACGTTTAAGTCACTTTTTAAAGGACTTGAAGTACGCTATGATCATAAACGATTGCTTGTCAACAGTCATATTAATTCAATTTTAAATCTCGAAAAAATCAATCATGAATCTGCTTTTGAATTACACAATTTACAAGCATTATTACTTGTATTAGATAAAATTTTAAAAAATCACTAGAATTATTATTAGAACAGTTCAGTTCTATTATTTTTATACGCAGTATTCTTCAAAAAATTGACAAGGAGTCTCGAAAGCTCTTTGAAATGCCACTAACGACTTCTGAATTAGCGGAATGAGATAATTTAATTGATTTCTTCAAAAAGCGATGTCAGTTTTTGGAAAATTTACCAGGGTAATAAAACAAGGAAAAAATGAATAAAAAATAAAACAAAAGCAATTGCAAAATAAAAAAAGAAACATTCATAAACACAAAAACTTCATGTTGAATTCAAATGATATTGCATCAAATTGTACGCAATAAAAAACACAAAACTCATTCATAAATTCGAATTATTATAAACCTTGTGTTATTTGTAATTTACAACACACAATTTATAAAGGTAATTCCTTTCTTAAAATGAACTTTAATGAAAGATATAATATTGCCAAAGAAAAAAGATTTTTTTAAAATCTCTTAATGGAAATCATTTGTTAAGCTAATGCAGATCGAAATAATTATGTTCCACGCGTTATAAAAAAAAACATCAATTCTTGTTAGATAAACCAGATACTTTTGAGTTAACTGACACCACTAATCACAATAACATTAATCCTTCTCTATAAGTGAAACTGAATCGAACTTCTCGAGAAATAATGAGTCAACGGCACATGCAAAGGAAATGATCTCGCTTAATTTGCTTGGCATCTTCTAATAAAACTGCGATTTTATCTACGGCTAATTTATGGACTCGAAATGCAGATAATAATTTTACTGAAGCACGAGCTTTGTTAGACGGTGGCTCTACGGCGAATTTTATAACATCTGACTTTGGAAAACAATTTTGTTCAAACAGAGAAAACATAATTAGTTTGTGGTATAAGTGGAACATTAATCACATTAAATCATAAGATTTCTTCTACAATTTCGAATAATAAAGGGAATTTTTGATTGTTCCAAAAATTACAAATTTGACACCAAAAACGCATATGCGTTGTTCGTGTCTATAAAGTTGTTGGAACGTGGCTGCATGAAATTGCATAAATGGTGTGCCAACCATCCAGAATAGCTTGGTAATGAAAATCGGAATGGTATACGTTATAGTTTTGATCATCAACTGCAATCGCACTCCGTAAAGGCTTCAGGTGCTTTTTTGGAATCCCAAAGCTGAATGTTTTACGCATACTGTGACGGTTACAAGGAAAGAGTCTTATGATAAAAGAGATGTTCACATATCGAGGATATTCGATCCTTTGGGCTTGGTTGGACCAGTTATCACAAGGGCTAACATTATAATGCAAAGAATGTGGCTTTCCAAAATTGATTGGAATGATCCGCAACTAGAAGAATTGGCTAAGGAGTGGAATAGTTTTGCAACCATCCTTTCAGAATTACAAAATGTTGATATCCCGAGAAACATCTTTACATAAAATCGCACATCATTGCATGGTTATGCTAATGCTTCTTCGTTGGTATTTGGTGCAGTAATTTATATATTTTCGGATCACAATTCTTCCTTTTCGAAAATGCTGAGCAGTAAATCATGGGTAGCTCCAATAAAATCTCTTGCCATACCCAGATTGCAATTGTGCGCTTGCTTTTTGCTATCTAAATTAACGGAAAAGGTTGTAAAATCCTTGAACATTTCGATTAAGAAGTTAACTTTAAGGTCGGACTCGACAATAGCACTTGCATGAATTACAAAATCCCCTCATTTTCTTAAAACATTTGTAAGCAACGGGTTGTGCAAATATCAGAACTGACCGAATGTAATGAATGGAAACATATATCTTCGGACAACAATCCAATTGATGTTATTTACCGTGGCCTAAACGTCGAGAACATTGCATCATGCAAAATATGGTGATTTTGTCCAGATTTAAATTGCTTCGTGCAAAAACAAAGTTTACCGAATTTGATGAGCAAACTATTTCGGACATTGACGATGAAAAAGAACTTAAATCACTATTGGACACTATTTGGCTATTTTCAATAAGAAAACTTTTGTTACTGTTTTTTTTTAATATTATTAATAATTCTATTATATAGTTATTACTAAATGAATTAGAATTCTTAGTTATCTTTACAGGTTTGTTAGAAACTGCAAAAAATCCTAGGAGGAAAATATTGGACATCTTTCTAGGGAGTAATTAAAGTTTGAAGAAGAAACCTTTCCCAATTTGAAAAGTTCAAAGAGATCGGCTGATTTAGCATCATTTTAAAAAAAAGTAATATTTCGACTAACTGTCACCTTAAGCCCTTGGGTGCCTTTTTATATTCCGATGGAATATCACGGGTGGGTGGTCGATTAGCCGATTCCTAGGTAAGTTTTGAAAATAAATTTCCCATTATTTTCTCATCTAAGCACAGGCTTATATGCATCATAATGTTGCCTCTTCATCTAACATATTTTTCTCTTGATCCTCAATCCCATCTGAATTCCGTTCGACAAAAATTCTGGCCAATACATGGCAGGAACCTTGCAAGAAAAACAGCTCATGAATGTATTGTTTGTTTCAAATTTCATCCTGTACTTGGTGATCAACTAATGGGTAAGCTTCCTTCACATGGATTGAATCCGAAATTCACCTTTAATGAATCGGGTTTGGACTTTTGTGGTCCAACGAAAGGGAAATTTTCGAAAAGTATATGTAACTATGTTAATGTCCTGGTCTTAAAACTTCAATAACTTCTGGAAAAAAAATCTCGCTCTTAGGTCATAAACGGGAATGTCCCTTTCAACATGTCAAATTTCAACTCTGTATATGCATTTATGTGGCGAGCAGAGTTGCCCGAATGGTATTTTTTCCACAAATTTAATAGTTAATAATTCTTGAACTATTTATCCAAGTCTTATAGTGATTACACAGAAAAATGAAATTAAATGCAACTTTGATCCCATAAAAATAGAAATGACAGCCCTTATGATTTATTATTACGAGTATAAAGAAGAAAATCATTTTCAAATGAACAACGTGAGCAAAAAAAAAGTGTCCATTCTTACAATAGCGCTTGGACAACCTGTTATTGAAAAAATTTCGTTTTGAATTTCTTTAAATATTTTTTGACCCATATGGGTATTGTTCAAATGAGATTTTTTAAGCATTTTAAAAATTGTTCTCCATGTATGTAGGCATTTTTGAAAAATAATTTTAATTGACACTAGTTTTAAATAAATAACGCATTTTAAAACATATAATAATTCGATTAGCACCAACTGCCATATCAGCATGTTATAAGCTCTGAAGTTTGCATGTTTTTGAACAAATAAAGTTCTTCTTTTTATAAAAAAAAGAATTATTTCATTAATATTTCTAGACATATATGGGTATTTTTAGAAATTTCAGCGTTCAAGTTTTAATATGAAGCCAGAGTTGGAGAATCGGAAAATACTAATCTTCACATAAATCCTATAAATGCTTTGGGACTCAGTTATCATTTTTTAAAATAATAAATAAATATCTTCATTGTATATGTGTATTTTAAAAACGCATGGTGACCATATTTTTTTTAAATATGAAACCAGTTTTATATTTTTCAGTAATCATAAGATTGTTTAAATTTCTTTTTCTTTGAAAAAAAAATAACTGCAGATACTTTGCAAACATTTCCAAGTCTATATGGAAAATTAATTTCCCTTTTGATATGTTTGAAACATCCTGGCCCATTTTTCCTATCATCTCTACAGCAGGCTATATACGAGGATATTTTACTTTTTTGTAGTTAATATTGGCTTATCCTTTGAAGTCATAAATAGAGAATAAATTCTGAAGAAAATGTGGAAGTATTTTTTTTTAAAAACAGCTGTTTCCAAATGGTGTTCTGCGGAACACTAGGGGTCCAGCGAGTTCGTACTTTTTATAACTAAAGATTAGTTTTGAAACCTCAGATTATATTTAGATCCAACCTATAATTCATAATTTATTAAATCTTTCGGTTGCCTTTATGAGATTATTTCTAGCAAAATGCCAAAGAAATAGAAGTATCTTTTTTTTAAAAAATATTGTATTTCTAATAACAAAATATTGAACAAATTGTGAAAGGAACAATCATTTTAACGACATTGCATTAGTATTTCCTATTATGCTTTTCAAATCAAAATTAAATAACTAATATATTTAATCAAAAAATCTATTTCCCCTATAACCATTTTCAAAGTTTTCAGCAGTTCTTTTAAGTTTTCATTTCGACGTAATTCACAATTTGTCCTATTTTATTCATATTCAGCTTATAGTATGTACACCAAAAACATATTCATAACTAAACTAGATCGAGCTCAATTGTTGGTTGTAAAGCATATTTTCAGTTTACTAATAATAAAACAATATAAAATCTTCATATCTCTAAATTTATATACTATATTTAAATATAGTCTTTTATAGGTTATAACATTCACTATTACCTTAATAAACTTAATTTATAAAGTAGGGGTTTCATTGAAAGGAAATTGATTATTTAGGGTTCTGTAGCCGTAAAAGAAATTGGGCACCGCTGTATTAAACCTTTAGTTTGCAAAAATCTGTCAGAATTCATTCAGAAGTTTTGATGCAAATTTTATCTATAAAATAAAAGTTGCGGATATATATGTATCTATAGCTAATAATCTAAAAAATGGGTGAAATAGCTTCAAATTCTCTTCAGAAAAACCTTCAGAAATATTTTCATATTACTTCTAGTGGGTAAAATTAGGTATAAAATAAAATAAAAAATATATTTATATCCTAGCGTAAATTTTTAAAGATGTTTTTCAAGTGAGCACGCGCAAAAGAAATTAAATGCAAAAAATTCTCAATTAAAGATTTTAGTTTAAGAATTTGTTAGGAGACTTATTTTGATGTATTCAAGTTTCTGATTTTAAGAGCATGTTACATTTCGCTATGATTATAAAACATTAATGTTCTCTACTAAGTTTTTGAAGTATTCTGGTTTCAAAGGAAAAAGTTGCTTTATAAACATTTTTTTAATGAGTCTATTTATCCTAAAACAACAGAATTCTTTATTCAATTAAAAAGAATTCAGAAACTCATTATTCAATTAAATCTCACTAACATATTCTTTATCTAAAGTCTTCAAATAACAGTGAAATCTTAATTATCATATTTTACTTCAGACAATAGCTTACCGGAGGCCTTAAATTTTGTACTGGAATATAAAATGGTTGTGGGTATGGCTGTCTACTCTGAGAGTGATCCGAAAATCCTGTCGAAAACAGAACTCCTGTCAGCATACCGGACTGTCCGGGTGGTGGACTCATAGGACGAGATGGAGGAACTGGTCTTGATAGAGGGACTGGTCTTGATGGAGATACTGGTCTTGATGCAGGTATTGTAAAAGTAGGAGGTAATTGCAGAGGCGGAGGTAAAGACTGAGAGGGAATAATCGAGGATGATCCTTGATTTGTAGGAATCATGAAGTCTATAGTACTTTCAGGCGGAGGTCGATGGTTATTATTGAGAAGTTCTTTTAGGGCTATCTGTTGAATTTGGCTTTTTTGTCTTGCCTTAAAAATTAAATGAAAGTTGTTAAAATATCGGATATTTTCATNAGCCTTTCATTCATTCTATATAAGTTGATTTAAGCAATTAGTCTAATAAATAGGAAGTTATTAAGGAAATCTATTAAGAAAGTTATTCTAGAGCTGTAGACTGCTCATATACAATTTAAATTTCGTTAATAACCTTGCATACTTACTTAAATATTTCAAACAAATTCTAGAGAATACAAAAAAATAAGGTATGTAAAAACGCCATAAGTAAATATGCTAAATAGGCCACACACAATGGCGAATCAAAAGACTAAAAATGTTATCTAAAGAATTAAATATCTATTTCTCACTTTGAGTCGAAACTAAGGCTTTGTTTTTACTAGAGAATTTAATGACTCAAGTCTCTTCTCATTATGTGCAATTCGTAGACAGTTTTTTTCTTGCTAGTTGAAATTTCCTTGTTTGCAATTCTAGCTGTGCAATTTTGTCCCTAACTAGTAAGGTTAGAATGATCAATAATCAATTCTTTTTCTTGTAAACACCCATGTAAAAAAATCTAACAATTTCTTTTTCTCATTCTGGAGATCTCTGCGTCTTCAATGGTCCTTTAATTTAGAATCGTTCTACAAAATTAATGTTCGATAATGTCTATCACTTTCATTCGAACTGATCAGCGTGTGCTTAAAAATCATGAAAGTACAATTTAGAGATTAACAATTGAAGCAATCTAAATGTATTTTCATGAAATTAAATTTTTCATTCGAATCTTTGTCACCATCTGCGGCCTGAAGTAATTTAGCAATAAAGTTTCTAACTTGCTGCATAAAGAAAAAAGCATTAAGCGGAGTTCAGTGGTCTTAAAAAAATATACTTCGCCGAATGAAATATAAGAAAAAACTGAAATCATCAACAACGGCTTACCTTTTCATTTCTTTGCCTGTATCTCACTTTTCTCAATATTCTATTTACTATAACAGTTGGAGGTACTCCTTTATCATTTGCAACTGCATACACTAATTTTGTCATTTCTTCTATTGTGTAAGTTCTGGGATCCTTCGTGCAAGACCAAGCATCCAAAGGTAAACTATTAATACTAAAGGTAAGGCATAAGACGGTGAACATCACTTTCATGGCAAACCACACTGGGGAAAACTACAACTGAGTAAAATAATAAGTAAGCATACTTTCAAAAAGCATGTGTTATGTGGTTAAAAAGTGCAAATAATGGGCACAAGTACTAGTAATGTGCAAATAACGCTGTAAAAATTTTTTCGAAAATAACAGACAATCTTTAAAATATTTGTGCATAAAAAATTTCGTTTTTCCGGATTCATTTTTTATGTAAAATAATAGTATCAATTTAAGATTTTGTTCCATTTATTTAATTGAAACATTTCCTTAATATCATTTGTTTCATGATGCAAGAAGTATACCGCGCACTGAGCAAATAACATATTAGTTACAGTGAATAAATAAAGTGGAGAGGCCATTAAATAAAAAATTATGTTATCCAGATAAAGGAAGACGGGCTTGAATTGTAGTTGCTGGTGTGACAAAAGAATTCATGCACTTTGCATTTGCTATGTGGCAACACTGTATAATCCACCTCTAGACATGATAGTGAAAGTGAGCTCTCAAGTATTCAAAAGTACTTAAAATTTAATTTAAGTCGCTCTCTAGGGATTTGATCACGCAAATTTGCTAAATAGCAGGGATATTGATTACAGTGTTTTACCTGTTTCTCGCATATGCCCTGAGTTGATGATTTTGCACCCGAATCGAAATATAATAAAGTATGAAAGTGTTCTTATAATTAGTTATATATTTTTCCATTTCGATAATTTTTGCTGTTGTCTTCATCATAAAGAGAGAAGGAATCAACAGCATTTTCCTCATAATGGCATAAATCATCATCATCGTGACACATTTCTAGACTAGTACTGAAAGACAACTACTGATCATCCTGTATGTTAAATTATGAATGTTAAATGAAAACATCCATTATAAAAATGATTTTTCGAGAAGTCATTTGTTTTTTGGACATTGAGTGCAGAATCTTGGTTAGAATTGCAGGTAAAATAATTTGTTTTGATTCGATAGTGCTGAGAACGTTGAGCAAATTATTATTTTTTTTAATTTCACATTTTTGTTTATTGCTAATTTATTTGTAAATAGACATTTTTCTAATAAAGTATTGATGAAACGTTTAAAGGTTTAGGTTAAATTATAATAAATAGTAAATGCTTATTTAAATATTTTATTTAACTAAAATACATTTAAATAAAAGCTTTTTCTAAAAGTAAATTAACCCCGGCGAATGCTTCTCATTCATCATAGTATTTGCTTATATGTTGATATTTTTCACTAAAAGGAAAGAAAATTTTGTTAATGAAATATATAACTATTGCAATTTAATGTTGAAATATTTTAGAATAGTAAATCATGTCATAACAAATGATTATATCTAAATTTAAAAAGCAATCAACTGCACTTGAAAAATATTAACCTAAGGAATTAAAATTGTTTTGTTCAACAAGAAATGAATGATAAGTAATTTTATTAGTCTATAAGACTCTTATTGTTATAACAGCTCAAATTGGAAACATATTTTATCTCTCTTTAACTTTCATATTTTTAAAAATTTCGATGTAAATGTTAAGAATTATATCAGGTAACATCTAATCCCTTGTTCTCTTATTTTTTTAAAATTATACTTATTAATGTTTTTGTTACTTTTGGCATTGACTTAAGCGCGAGCTAATAAAATAACAATCCCGAGAGAGATAAAGATCCGAGAGGGAAATTCTTATTAAAAATGAATAAATACTCAAGATTTAAAAGGAAAAAGTGACAAAAAGTAGTAAAAAAAGGCACTTGAAATTGCAACAACTTTCGAACGAACTGGAAAGTAGAAAAAAAAGAAAGAAAAAGAAGAAGAAAAAAACTCATGCCAAGTTCATAAATGAAAATTACCATTTCAGTTCATCAAATTTCAGTTTTAATGTTGCCTTTCTGCAAGTTGCAGATCGGGCCATCACGATTTTTTACTGCAAGTTTAATAGTTGATGATTCTCATACTAGGAATCGAATTTTAATTCCCACATTTTTCCGGTATATTTATCTACACACCTTCATAATTTCAAGTTTCTAAATTTTGTTCTTTTTGCTTACAAAAATGAAATGTAATGTAATGTAGAAAAAGAGAGAAAAAATTCTCAACAAAGCACGTCGTATTGCAATAACTTTCGAACATTTTAGAATTATGAAAAAAACTCATGCTAAGTTCATAAACAAAAAGGTCCTTTCAGCATGCCAAATTTCAATTCAGTATTTGCATTTCTTTGGCCCACAGAGTGGCGCTGGTATTTTTTTCCCTGTAAGTTCAACAGTTTATAATTCTTGAAATAACTATCGATACAACTGAATTTTTTAATCTTTTTACATTTTTTTACTCTCTTTCGCAATTTCGTCTTTTTAAGTCTTATAGTTTAGAACAACAGAACAAAATGTAGCGCAAAGTTGAAACAGTGGCGGAGCTTAAGACATTTTAGAGATAACAGAACAGTGACTACAAGATATTAGTCAGATTTAAAATTGCAATAGATTTAACATTGCAATAACAAACAAGATGGAAGATTTTTCTTACAACGACATTCGTAGGAAAAGTTAAGAATGATTAAGTCATTTATATTTTATTAAGCACGATGCTATTTATCCATCTCTCTGCTTTTTAAGATCTATCAAAATAGAACAAAATCATTGATGCGTGCGGTCAAGAAAGATATACGCCCTAGATTATATGTTTTTGAATGAATAATTTTGGAAATGCATCGCATTCATAAAATTGTCTTTTGTATATTACGCATCTGCATAGTTTATTTTTAGAAAGTTTATTTTGGAAAAATCAAAAGTTCTATCGAAATATACAAACAAGAGTACATTAATCGAAATAAAATTTCTGTAATAGTATAAGATATGATACTTTAATTAAAAGACAGTGGCTTTTAATCAAAATACTGCAAATGATTGTTTCATTTCATCAGAAAATAAATAAATAATTCCAGAAATAAATTCGATTCTCAATACATCCTGTGTTTGTATTATATTCCTCGAATGCACAATGTGATTTTCATTAGTTATTTTAGAAAGCAATCTAGTGCAGTATATAAACAAGAAAAAGTAACTGGTTCAAATTAAACGCAAACAACAGTAGTAGATAGGTAAATGGCATATTTAAATGGCAGTTATAATTTTGAGACGGAGATAGAAAATTTAAATAAATTTTTTGAGAAGAAGATACATCTTGCAAATATAAAGATAATTTATACCATCAAATCCTGTTAGCTAGAAACAAAAATGGACAGTATTGATAAAAATGTAAGTGTAGGGTTTTGAAATAAGAAATAAAATTATGTAAGATTTTATCCACAATTTATGATGTCAAACAGCTTTGATATTTAAAGTTCAAATTGTTTTATACATCTGTTGTGTTTACATCTTCTTCGACAGCAAAAAAATTTCTCAAGGGAGAAACAAAATTCTGGTAAAATTACCATATTGTATGGTTATAACATTTCTGATCACAAAACAATAATATATTTTTGGTAAATAAAATAAAAATGTACGAAATTTAAACCATTTATTCGATAATTTTTTCTTTTATATGGTAACAAACCGGAACTTTCGGTTTTCAAAATTACAATTCTTGCTACCATGAAAAATGCAAAATTTAAATCAGATTTAAGCAAATAAATATATGACTTTTATACCATGCTCTAAGGAATCACGATAAAATTACCAAATTTTACCACATTTACTAAATTTTATCGCATATTATAAAACCGTATTTTATTGTTAATTTTACCAAACTCGTGACCGAAGCGCTTTGGAAAAATTACCGAGCTTTTTGATGTTTCCATAGAGCCAGAAACACGGTCACCGTTTTCTAACAGTTTTGGCCATATTCATTTTCTCAGTATAATTATAATCAATTATTAAACGCTATGATATGAAAATGAATTTAATTTATAAACAAATTTTTTCATTGAATTGCTCATTTTACCAAAGCAATATAAAAATGCATAAATTTTGTAATTAGTAATAAAACTCTTTACAAATTTGTTTATTGAATTTTGGTAAATATGTTTCATAATTTAAAGTATGAAAGATTGCTTCATAAATATGGCATGACTGTTCCCGCTTAAAGACCCTATTAAGGCGAGTAAAGCAAATGGAATTGGACACGCCCAATTTTCGTCTTCAGATATTAAAGAAGATGTAATTGGCCACATTTAAAATTAAAGAGTCTAATTTCGGATGTTTCGGTGGATTTATATTCTATAAATAGAGAGGCTTATGATTTAAGAATTCAGGAACATTCTCAAGCAGTTTATTTGATTTTCACTTATTTTCTGTTTCTAGAATAAACGCAGCCAGCTAGAATAAGAAAAAAAACGTCTGTAATAGTTGCTCAGTGTAATTTATCTCATTCAGAGGAAATTAAACATTTATGTGCATGTTTTGATTATTGTATATGTGTGAAATGAAGGGTGCGCGTTTTCTGTAACATCTGTCTCATGCGATGAGTCACGAAAATTTTATTTGACAGCAACATAGTGCTGCGTCTGAATTGCAAATTTCTCTTATTAGCTCAATACGTGTTCAAAATATCTTAGTTTCAACACATCAGGAAGTAACGTTTTAAGTAAAAGGTCAATCAAGAAAGTGCAATGGATATTTCCATTTGAAGTCTTTACATTCTGAGAGACAAGAAATAATAGCATTGTGTAAATTGTGGAAAGTATGACCACGTGGTTCAATTTAGAACCATAATATCATCTATATATAAATTTTATACGTCTCTTATTAGCTTTATATATTTTCCAAATATCCTACTCAGTTGTAACAGATTATAAAAAAAAACAGCTAACCCCTTCCTTCTCGCTCCTGTTAGAATGACGGGTTGAAGTTTCGCCTCCCTGTTTCTCGAGCCCATGATATTTCCGGGCTGGTGAGTTCTAAAGTGACGCACCAAAAAATTGAAGCAATCTGTTTCTTACGTCCGTAACCATGATTATTTCTCAATTTTATACACTAAATCGCAGACTGTTAGTCATGTGCTTAGAGACAGTTTATTTTAGACTAGATGTCAGCA